ATCAAACAAACTATCGTGGGAGGGGCCTGTTTTTGTGACGTCACACAGACAGGCATCTGAGATTGGCTCGATTTGAGAAAGGGGTAAAGATTTTAGTAGTTTAAAAAAAACACTTGGTGGATTTTTATCATTATGGTGGTTGTGTACATACACTGTCAACACACATTTCAGTTCAAACAACTTGTAAAAGTGCATGTAGCATTGGATGACCCCTTTAAAGCAATCTTCAGGTCTTATTAAAAAAATAGCAAATTCATTTTTAGAATAAAAGACATTTTGTGTGTATGAAAGAAACGGTCACAACTGTCATAAAGAAATAATTTTTTCTTCTTTTTTTTGCATTGATTTTTGCACTTATTTTTGAAAGAATTTCTGCTATATTGGGATTTAATTGTTTTTATTATTTAATTTTTTTTATTTCATTTCATTCATTTGAATTAAATAAAATGTATTTAAATAATTAATATGAAACATTGTTCTAATAATTCAGATAATGTCCAATTCTCAAATAAATAAATAAATATTCTATATAATAAATGTTATATATTACAATAAATATAATAAAATATAATGAATATAAAAATAAACTTTAGTCTATCAAAACATGTAAACACTCTAACAAAGATTTATTAAAAAGCTCAAGGTGTAAATAATATATGCTGAAACCCACTTGTGAAAACTGAAGTCCATCTATGAATCCATTGTAAATGTAAATGCTTCCAGAGGAATCTGTTTCCAGCGGAGCGCCCACTGCTACATCAGTGAACTTGTTCCCATCAATATCTCCTATCGATGCAATGGCTGCGCCAAACCTCGCAAAGGTCTGTCCTGCATCACCCTGCAGCTCCATGGCCACACTCTCAAACCTGTCCTCCTTTGGCATGATTTAAAAATAACCCCATGAGACACAAATCATGTTAAAACATTGTCCACATAAATCCAAGAGCTGAAAGGAGAGTATGATCTTACCTGATTCAACCTGTACACTAGCACTTTGCCTTCTTCCCCATTTTGATGGAAATGTGGAGCTCCAACTAATAGATAATCTGTGTATTGATTTCTATCAATGTCCAAGGTACAAAGAACTGATCCAAAGTAAGATCCAACCTATGACAATTATACATTACTTCATTATTATCATATTAGCAAATGCATAAACTGGGGCTTGATTGTGAGCTCCAAATCAATCAGAAGAAAAAAAAAAACAATCCTTTCTAATGTAATAAATGGTTTAAATTAAACATATTTAATTTTATTATTTCACATTTATTATGAATTCATAAAATGCATACCATTTAAAGATTACTCTATTCAATTCGGTGGAAACTGGTCATACATTTGTGATGTGCAAATAAAAAATATTTTAAAGACTTTTAAACATTCAAAAAAACATTCAAAAAGCAAACAGTGTGTTAATGTATATAGTATTAACTACAAATACCTGATCTCCCTGGAGCACATACTTTTCAGAGCCATTGAAAATAAATACACCACCAGTCAAGTTATACCGTGGTGCACCAGAGATGTAGAGTGTTTTACTTGGTTTTACTTTAGCAGAAGTGACACTGTAACCTGTGATCAGGAAGGAGATTCAACAAACATGAACCTGAGATGACTTTCATTTAGCCAGGTTTTCACAACATTTCCTTTAAAGATGTTTAAATTCTCAACCAAATAAATGTGAAACCTCCTCAAAAACCCCTTTAAAAATCCATTTTCTTTGACTTACTTTTTTGGTTTCCAACCATCACTCACCTAAATAGGAAAATTTGGGTCCATTGTTAGAGTCATTCAAGAATTTCACGGTTTTATCAGATTGCAAAATTACTCCACCACTCCAGCCAAAGGCTCCAACTGCTCCAAAAAGAACAGAATTCTACACACACACACACACACACAAAACAGAAACAAATGAATGTTATTAGTATATCAATTAATCATCTTTGGAAAAGTTGTTGCAAACATCCACACATTCTTAATAGTGTTTGATACAAAGATTAGTTTCTAAAATAAAAGGTATCAGAAACCAAAAATCCTACTTACGTCCTGCATGAGATGGGAGCTGAAGCCAGCTTCAGCGAGCTGGAACTGAAATCCTGCACCTTGCTGATTGTCTGAGACACAAAGTAGTTACATAATAGCATGAAACTCATTTCACATGGTAAAACTCACATTAATATTATACTGCATATTCAGTTACAAAACAGTCAAAGTTGTTTTTCAGATATTTCATTGTCCACTTGTACACTCCTGACAGACTGTGTCAGTTTATGCATTGGTAGTGGGGATTTTTCAGTGACCATTTCTGCAAGTTACATTGATAAATGAGTAGATGGCAACAAGTGAATTTGTCTTCACGAGTTAGTCATTGATTATTTACTCAAACGATTCATTAAAGGGGTCATATCATGCCATTTCAAGTTTTCCTTTCTCTTTGGAGTGTTACAAGCTGATTGTGCATAGATAAGATCCCTGAAGTTGCGGGGCATAGAGGAGAAACAATAATGTACAGTATGTGGAAAATTTTTTAGTTTTTAGTTTAAAATTTTGTAAAGTTTTTTTAACTTTAAACCGCATAAACACATTTCATTACACCAAATACACAAAATAATGTTCTTTTTAGCAACATCATATGACCCCTTTAACCAATTCTTTCAAGTACATAGATTCATCCACGAAAAATCATGCATGTGTTAATTGGAGACGCAACACTTAATTCTACTTTTTCTTTGTTTAGAACAATGTCTGCTGGTGGTACATAACTGGGAATACTGTATTTAAAATGGTATACTCACTGTTTACTTTTTGTTCACTGAACTGTTAAATAAAAGCAATAACACTCGGAAATTTGTGTGGTTGCACTGATTATCAGCAAGGCTTAATTTTACAATGGCTGTTTATCAGCTCATCCAATCAGAATTTAGCACTTTAAAACGGCCTTTCTCTTTAACAGTGTAATGTTTGATAAAAACATTCTTACCTTCAATTCCTGTTAAATTTTGTTGCAGTGATGACAGAATGTCATCTAATGCGGCATAATTGGAAACCTTGTAAAACTTCTCAGGATCTGCTATTTCCTTCATCTCTTGTATTGCTTCAGTATCATTCAGAATGCCGCCACCAACCTAAAGATAACATGATGTTATTGCAAGTGTTTGGGTTTTATGATTCATTTTGTTAAACCATAAAAAAACATTAACAATACAGTAACAAACTATGAGTAATATAGCAGATATGAGTGTTTTAGTAGGACTGTCAAACCTAGAAGTTACAGTAATCTGTATATGTAGCTCCAGCATATGATGACTTTCTAAAAAAAAACTTTAAAATTTGATTTTTATCTCAAATGCTGCTGAAATATTTAGTAAACAGGACACTTACTCCTATGGCACTGAGACCATGACATCATTATCACCAACAAAAGTGCTGCATGTCAATCAAACGCTTAAGGTGTAAAATGTCTAGTATTTCACATCATAATCTGTAAACTCACAGGACATGATGGATGGCTGAGGCGGTCTTTGTGATCTTGAGAAGTTGCTGTATTTCTTTGACCTTTAGCAAAGCTCTGGCACTGTTCTCATTGTCTAGCAGTGAGAGCTCTGTCCTGATCTCTTGACCATATTGCACAATCGCAAAGTTACACTGAAGAGAGAGTTGTTTTTTTAAAAACAAATATAATATACACTCTTAAAAATAAAGGTGCTTTACGATGCCATAGAAGAACCTTTTTGTCTAAATGGTTCCATAAAGAACCTTTAACATCTGAAGAAACTTTCTGTTTCACAAAAGGTTCTTTGTGGTGAAAGAAGGTTCTTCAGATTACAAAAAGGTAAGAAAGAGATGGTTCTTTAAAGAACCTTTGACTGAATGGTTCTTTGTGAACCAAAAATGGTTCTTCTATGGCATTGCTTGAAGAACCTTTAGAAGCACCTTTATTTTTAAGAGTGCACCTTTTAAATTGTACTTAAAAACAAAATGGCCGTAAACGTGTCTCATTAAAATGCTTAAGTTTATACTTGCATCGAAACATGTGTTCCAAACATCGGACATGACATTGTAGATGAAGTCTTTGGCTCTCTGAAAGTCATCAGGTTGAATGCTACCAGAGCCGTCCAGCACAAAAGCAATCTCTGTCCCAGAATCTACAAAAGATGATCTGAAACATCAGTATAGAAATGATGGTTTCTTTAAAGACATTGGTCTATGCATCTGTAGTACAACAACAGTCAGTATGACATAATAAATGCTGATTTATTTCAAACGCTGAACAAAGATTAGTACCATCATCATCATCCTCATCCTCATCCTCATATGCGCTTGTGTCACCATCCAACTGGGTGTCTCTTCTCATCCTCTGTTTAACTTGTGGATCTTGACAGAGATGTAAATTATCAATCAGATTCCTTAAATTAGTCACACTAAGGCAACAGTTAATTTCAATTCCAGATGCTCCAATATCTCTGAAGAATATTTTAATGGACTGTGTGGATTTAACTACTCTTATCATTTCAGATGTTATTGCAAGTGTGTGGGTTTTATGATTTATTTTGATAAACCATAATAAAATTAAATAAAATTTAATTTAATTTAATTTAATCAAATTAACCATACAGTAACAAACTATGATTAAAATAGCTGATATGAATGTTTTAGTAGGACTGGCAAACCTAGAAGTGTCTTCAAGATTAAAATAAATTAGAGTAATGTGCAATTGTAATTCTAACATGTACCTTTTTATCTAAAATGCTACTGAAATAATCAGTAAACAGGACACTTACTCCTATGGAATAGCAAGTGACACCTTTCATTTGTGGCATGTTCAAAACATCTGTAAGATTCATTGGATCTCCCAACATTTTCCCATCAGACAATACAATTATTGTTTTTTTGGAGTTCCTTTTTGATCCATTCTCAGAGATGAAAATATCTGTGCTGTAAACAACCAATGAAACCACTGAGATCATGACATTAATGTATCACCAACAAAAGTGCTGCATGTCAATCAAACGCTTAAGGTGTAAAATGTCTAGTATTTCACATCATAATTTGTAAACTCACAGGACATGATGGATGGCTGAGGCGGTCTTTGTGAGCTTGAGAAGTTGCTGTATTTCTTTGACCTTTAGCAAAGCTCTGGCATGGTCCTTACTGTCTAGCAGTGAGAGCTCTGTCCTGATCTCCAGACCATATTGCACAATCGCAAAGTCACACTGAAGACAGAGGGTTTTAAATTGTAATTAAAAACAAAATGGCTATAAATATGTGTCATAAAATGCTTTAGTTTATACTTGCATTGAAACATGCTTTCCAAACATTGGACATGACATTGTAGATGAAGTCTTTGGCTCTCTGAAAGTCATCAGGTTGAATGCTACCAGAGCCGTCCAGCACAAAAGCAATCTCTGTCCCAGAATCTACAAAATATGTATAGAATTTTTTTTTTTCTGTTGTACAACACCATCAACATGACATATTAAGTATAATGTTATTTTTTATTTATAATATTTATTTTAAAGTCTAAACAAAGTACCATCATAGTCTTTTGTGTCACTGTCTGACTGGGCATCTCTTCTCATCCTCCATTGATCTTGTAGATATTGATAGAAATGTAAATTAGCAAACAGATTCCTTAAAAGAGTGATAAAAAAAGACAACAGTTTATTTCATTTTCTCTCAGGCGGGCTCACCTTGACCAATCCATCGACCTTGATAATGATTGTTGTTGTTGTTGTTGTTGTTGTTGTTGTTGTTGACTGAGATGAAAGAGATTTTGAAAAGTAAGGGTTAGGATTTTATCTGTTTGAATCTGAAATACTATTATAAAATCATGCAATCTTACCTAATGCAACAGGATTCAGTTTTTGAATGACTTTTGCAGTGGGGTTCATCAGTTTGCAATCTCCGTTCAAATCCTCAGTTACTGACTCCTTTACGCGAATTTGATTACACATCTTAGAAGAAGAAAAAATACACAAATCTAAATATTTCATCTTGTCTTTCATTTTCATTTCTGTGTCATTTTCATTCTATTTTATTTAATGTCCTATTTTAATGAGAATTTGTGTCCGATTTGAACTCACAGAGACAGAATCACTCTGATTGAGGCTTAACTAAGAGTACATTGTTTTTTTCCCCACTGGGGAAGTGCTGTCACTATGGTTTTGAGTGACATCACAGTTGACCCACAATGCTGATGACTTCCTCCTGATAGTCACATCATCCTGAACAATTATCCAGTATCCCAATAAATAAAGCAAACACAACCCCCCCAGAAATAACTGTGGTATCCTGACATTTCTAGTCCTTTTCACATTTCTAGTTTGACATTTCCTGACATTTAAAGACTATTTCCTGTTCTCTGAAGGAGAACTGATACATTTCTGTCTGTCACATATGTGAAGGGGAAACCACACTCTGTGGTTTTACTGTGAAAATGCTATGCAACAGACTCAAAGCATTGTGCAAACTCTATCTGATTATAAACAGTTTACTTCTTGTTTGGTATAGCTTTCAATAGCTTAACCTTTTGTAAGTGAAATCAGGTTAAGTACAAAACAATTGTCGGCCATATCTAACATATTTATCCCTGTATTTAAGGATCTTTATACATACCATAACATGTTCCTCTTCTGATGTCAGACTAGATACTGATGCTACTGGTCTCAGGCCTTTAGGCTTTTTATCTTCAAAAGAGATATTGATGTAATAAGACTTTTAGAGTGAAAGAGTAATTGTGTAAATCAGTGAGGACATTATTATGAAATGAACAAAGTAAAGTTTCCAGGGAAATCTTCATTATGAAAAGACAAAGACAAACTTACCATCAGAATTTATTTCGACGCATTCATGCTCTAGAGTGCATCTAAAAAGTTTTCCATGTTTTGGTGAAGGAACAAAAACTCTAGAATAGAACAAATTAAGACAATTTGACTAAAATAGATCAATAAATGTTCTTTATCATGATCTTAAAAAATGTTATAAAATAAATGTAATGTAATTTAATTAAAAAAATATATCTAGAATTATCTAAAACTCTTATAAATGACCAACCCATCTGTTGATTGAATAACAGTTTGACCAAAGAGTGGATCGTCATTTGTGAAATGCTTCAAGGGAGTTTTTTGAATGTTGAAACCGCTCACACTGTATATCACTATAACATAAAAAATTATTTAGACCACATACTTTTATTTCACAGGGACAAAGTAATAAGATTAATTATGTTTTAATAATATTGTTTCTACTTCTGCCCAGACATTTTCTGATTCAGATAAATAAGAGTTTAAAACATGCCCAAACTCAAATAATTGTTATCATTAATTATAAACATTAACATCAACATAGTAAATAATTACATACCAATTATAAATAGCAGTCCTCTGTACATTTTGTGAATTTGATGAACTCCACGCGTAAAAAAAAACATATCGGCACAGTGAGACAGAAAGCAGCTCGTTGTGGTCTTGAAAAAGTAGAACAGCACACAGTCGCTGCTGACTGTTAAACCCGCCCCCTCCACACACTTCAGACAGCACCTTTTCTCCAAAAGGGTCTGGCTGCAGCTGGCGCTTGCACTCTCAGGCTTGCACTCTCAGACACTTGCACTTCCGCTAGCGACGTCACTTGCAGTCTTTTAGTTTTAATAAATAACATTTACTAACGCAAAAAAAATGAATGCAAAAATCGACTATATTTTTAATTATGTATAGGTTCTATATAAACACGTTTTCATGAGCTGTATCGTATTTGCATGAAGTAAAAGAAGAACTGAATCGATTTTTTAAACAAGTTCTTTGAAACGAACTGTTCGAGAGAGTCCATTCGCAGAAATGAATCGGAGATCCCAAAACCAGTTCTAATACCGAACCAAATCTCGCGAGAACGGACGAGGGGATAAGTTAAGGAAACATGGCGATGCCTAATTTGTTAAAGGTAAGATACATTTAAGCTCGTTGCCTCCAAACTCTCCATGAACAGTCACGCCTATAACCTTCAAATGACTATGTTGTACCATTGTGATTTAGCGGCTTGCTCGGATTCTGACCTGCATGTCCAGTGAGTTTATATGAGAATCTGTGTTTAGCTAGCAGGCTGTGAGCTAGCTGAGATTAATAAAGCCAATAATCACAATAATACTGGACTGCATGCTGACGAGTTGAAGTCATGATTCACTCCAATGGGTGTTGACCTTCGGTATTATGTTGTTTATAAAAATATATAATAAAGGGACATGTTCCTGATGACAGTTAGCACGCATGTTGTTAGCTTGGTCAATGGTTAAATGACACTGAGTGTAATGACTGAGCTAATGGTATATAATGCGAATGTGTGCCGTTACTGTTAAAGAGTTTCATGTTTTAGTAAGCCAAGAAAAGATGCACATGTATTATAAGTATTTAAAACCCAGTGAGCTGCCTACCTAGACAACATTTTGAAATGCACCAGTAATGCCCAAAATGCTGTCTAGTTAGGCAGATCTCAGCTTTTATGAAAAACCTTTCTGTCTTTTGAGAATTTGCTGTTACTTTCTATCTGTCTGTGGTGGACTTGACTTTCTTGCTAAAACTAATTAACTAGCATTGATTCATCTTGAATACGTATAATTAAATAATATTTTTACACTAAAAAAATATTCTGTTCACAAGTGATATTTACCTTTATTTTTACTTTTTTTGTCGTCATATCTCATAATTCATTCCAAGCTCTTCAATGTCTCCTTGGTAAACAAGTACAACATAAAAACAAAAAAAATGTACTTTATCAGTGGCAGTATTTAGGAAATTAAACCACAGTTGAGGTGCAGTTGTTATTTGTTAATTAAATAATTTGAATTATTTTAAAATTGTTTTAAAAATTTATTTTTAAGATGCATTTTCATATTTTACGATTGAAAGTCTAGGTCTGGTTCAAGGATAAAACAAGGAAATCTATACTTTTCAAATGCCTTTTATTATATATGTTGAAAGCTTAGTAAGAAATTAATAAAACCAAAGAAATAACAGAAATAAATAATTAAAAGTAATACAACAATTACAAATAATTATACATTATGTACAAATTATATTATGTACAAATTCTGTTAAGTTTGAACACATTTAATTTAAAGAAAAAATCAACTCCTAAGACATAAAAGTTTCTTAAAGACATTAGAAATAAAAGAAACAGCCAACTGCTTGCCTTATTGTAAATGCTTTGAGAAGCATTTCCAATAAGGCTTCTGATTTTCTGGCCATGTTTAGACAGAGAGGTCTTCCATTATGTCCGGTTCATTGTGTTATATGTGAATGCACTCACACTCTTCTTCTCTAACTGTCTGTCTCTTCCATGTCCTTTTGCTTAGAACAAGGGTTCCCTCCAGTTTGAGGACAAGTGGGATCTTATGCGTCCCATTGTCCTTAAGTTGCTTCGCCAAGAATCTGTTACTAAGCAGCAGTGGTTTGATCTTTTCTCGTAAGGCCCTATGAATTCAGATCTTTTAATATCCTGCACATGAACTACAGTCTGAATGTTCAATCTGTCTTCCTGTTCTCCTTAAATAATTAAAAGTAATACAACAATTACAAATAATTATACATTATGTACAAATTCTGTTAAGTTTGAACACATTTAATTTAAAGAAAAAATCAACTCCTAAGACATAAAAGTTTCTTAAAGACATTAGAAATAAAAGAAACAGCCAACTGCTTGCCTTATTGTAAATGCTTTGAGAAGCATTTCCAATAAGGCTTCTGATTTTCTGGCCATGTTTAGACAGAGAGGTCTTCCATTATGTCCGGTTCATTGTGTTATATGTGAATGCACTCACACTCTTCTTCTCTAACTGTCTGTCTCTTCCATGTCCTTTTGCTTAGAACAAGGGTTCCCTCCAGTTTGAGGACAAGTGGGATCTTATGCGTCCCATTGTCCTTAAGTTGCTTCGCCAAGAATCTGTTACTAAGCAGCAGTGGTTTGATCTTTTCTCGTAAGGCCCTATGAATTCAGATCTTTTAATATCCTGCACATGAACTACAGTCTGAATGTTCAATCTGTCTTCCTGTTCTCCTCGGTTCTCACAGAGATGTTCATGCAGTTTGTCTATGGGATGACAAAGGACCAGCAAAGATCCACCAGGCCCTCAAGGAGGACATCTTAGATTTTATTAAACAAGCTCAAGCGGTAAGAGAGGTTCAGGATTAAGCCACCTGTTGATGTTCTTCAGCAGAATCGCGTCTCATTCTTGATCGTTGGTGTTTAGCGAGTGCTCAGTCACCAAGATGATACGGCGCTCCTCAAGGCTTACATCGTGGAGTGGAGGAAGTTCTTCACGCAGTGTGACATTCTGCCCAAGCCGTTCTGCCAGCTGGAGATCACCCTGATGGGCAAACAGGGCAGCAACAAGAAGTCCAATGTGGAGGACAGCATTGTTAGGAAGGTGAGCGGGATAAAAGCGGGATTTTTAGGTTGATTTCCTAGAATGGGATTCATCGGGTTGTTCTGCTTTTTATGTTCTCAAAGCTGATGCTGGATACTTGGAACGAATCTATATTCTCCAACATCAAGAATAGATTGCAAGATAGTGCGATGAAATTGGTCCATGCCGAACGACTGGGAGAAGCGTTTGACTCGCAGTTGGTCATTGGGGTCAGAGAGTCATATGGTGAGATTCACTCCACGTTTTTCATTGGCTTGAGTGAATCTTTCTATTCATGAAAACTGAAAAGAATCTCTTTCTCAGTGAACCTGTGCTCCAATCCTGATGATAAACTGCAGATCTACAGGGATAACTTTGAGAAAGCCTACCTAGACTCCACTGAGAGGTTCTACAGGACCCAGGCGCCGTCCTACCTGCAGCAGAACGGAGTACAAAACTACATGAAATATGTACGGCCTGCCAGACATCAGATTTTAGACTACATGATCTTCAACCAATCAGATTGCGTAGTGGAGAGGAGAGTTATGACTCCTGCTAACACTCTACATTTGTGTTTGCTGTCATATATTCTCTCTGTCTCTGTTTACAGGCAGACGTTAAGTTAAGAGAAGAGGAGAAACGTGCACTACGATATTTAGAGACAAGACGTGAATGTAACTCTGTACAAGCAGTGAGTATATGATTGGCTTTTAATCATGATACATTGTGTGTAGAAATAAGGCAGTGAATTGAACAATTTTGCATAAAGTAGGGCATCAATCATTAAAATATTTTAGTGTTTTGTGTGTAAAAATATTAAAAGTAATATTAAAAATTAAGTTATTCAATGTTTATTATTTAATTTAAAATAAAATAATATAACCAGGTATGTGAGTCTGAAATAGTGGATTTGTTTTTTTCCTCAGCTTATGGAATGTTGTGTGAATGCACTGGTAACGTCATTTAAAGAAACTATCTTGGCTGAATGTCCAGGCATGATCAAACGAAATGAGACTGACAGTGAGTATGAGACTACTTAGAAATCTTATTTTAGATAGATATCTAAAATAACCCTTTTAGGTTTTATATACACTACCTTTACAAATTTGGGGGTCTTTAGGATTTTATTTTATTTTTTAAAGAAATCTCTTATGCTCAACGAGGCTGCATTTATTTGATCAAAAATACAGTAAAAACACTAATATTGTGAAGTTATTGCAAATTAAAATAGCTGTTTTGAATTTGAATATATTTTAAAATATAATTTATTCCTGTGATTGCAAAGCTAATTTTTCAGCATCACTCCAGTCTTCAGTGTCACATGATCTTTCAGAAATCATTCTAAGCTGCTGATTTGCTGCTCAAAAGTAATTTGAAAACGTGTGCGGTTTAATATTTTCAGGGAAACTGATGGGTTTTTTTCTGGATTTTTTGATGAATAGAAAGTTCAAGAACAGCATTTGTTTGAAATAGAAATCTTTTGTAACATTATAAATGTCTTTACTGTCTCTTTTGATCAATTTAATGTGTCCTTGCTGAATAAAAGATAAAAGCATTCATTTCTGTCATCACAAATGCTTAATGACCCCACGCTTTTGAATGGTACTGTGTTTTTCGGAAAAATAGACTTTGCATACTATGTAGCGGTATAATATCTCTAAATATAAGCTTTTATACCTCGGTGAACTCTTCTTCCACAGAGCTGCACCTCATGTTCTCTCTCATGGATAAAGTGCCCAATGGGATTGAACCCATGTTGAAAGACTTGGAGGAGCACATCATCAGTGCTGGACTGGCAGACATGGTGGCCGCTGCAGAGACCATCACAACTGTGAGCACAACATTTGCAGAATTATTATATGCTTTGTGAGCTTTATGAATTTTAGAGCATTAGCTGGCTTTTGGTATTCACAGTATAAATAAAGGATAATTGATTAATGTTGATAATATGAATATTTGATTAATGGTAGGGATGTAACGATTAACTGCGAGCCGGTTGAAAATCGATTTAAATATGTGACGATTCAAATCGGTTGAGATGCTAAACAAATCGCGATTCATTTAGGTGTAGGAGTTTATATGAATGTATGTCTGAGGGGAACTTACTGTCTTTAGAAAAGTTTAGATGGTATTTTTTCTTTTCATCTTACCTCTGTATAATGCATATTAAAGATCATAAGTGCAGCGCTGCTTTGTTTACAGCGGAAACCAAGGAAATGCTTTAAGCGCCACCTGCTGGCAGAGAGTGAATCTGCTTCTCATTCAGCTCTTCTTCTGTTTCTGTTTCATGCAGATATTTTTTATGCATAGTTTCACAAAACTGAAGTCAAACCATTCTGTTTTTGCTTCAAATTTCGAAATTATACAATGTAATGTAATGTAATTTGGTTGCCTCTAATTTTAAATGGAAAGAGCACAGACAAAGACTTATTTTGTTTATATGAAGAGATTTCTTTTATTTGTGTTATTTATTTGATTTGGGGCTTGTTTTAAAATTTCAATTTAGTTTTGTTATTTACATTTACATTATATTTAAATTTTGGTATTTAGCAAACGCTTTTATCCAAAGCGACTAACAAATGAGGAACAATAGAAGCAATCAAAACCAACAAAAGAACAATAATTTACAAGTGCTATATTAGTATATTATTATAGTGTTATATTTCAATTTCACAAAGAAACGTGCAGTATTTTGTCCAAGCAATAATAAAAGGACACATTTAATTTATAATTTGTCTTAAATCTCATTTTGTAAAAAAAAATAATTCATGAATCGAATCGTGAGTTGAGTGAATCGTTACATCCCTAATTAATGGTCATGGTTTTACTTGATTTATAAAAGAAAAATAGCTTTTTCTTCTGAAAATTGGAGGGAGTTGTGGTTTGAGTACCCTTGATTTCTGTATCTTCACTGCCTGGGTTTAAAACTTGTTAGGATAGATCCTCAAATATTAGGCAGCTACAGTCAAGTACTGGTGTTGATGTTTCTCCTCAGGACTCTGAGAAGTACGTGGAGCAGCTCCTGACTCTGTTCAATCGATTTAGTAAATTAGTGAAGGAAGCGTTCCAGGATGATCCTCGGTTCCTTACAGCCAGAGACAAAGTGAGCATGCCGCCCCCATCCATATTCATTCTCACTGTCTTACAGTTGGCCTCAGTAAGTAGCCTGCTTGACTAGATCACACTGCAGATGGTTACCAGAGATCTGTGATGACACAGGAATACAGTGGAAGGTTATATAACAATAACTCCATTTGAAATGCTGTTGATTTTTTTTGGAAAATGAATAGAGTTGTTTATTATTTTGAATGAATGGAGTTTTTGTATCTCACATACCTTTTTAATGATGTTTAACATATAGTTTTAAATTTCCCCACAGGCATACAAAGCAGTTGTGAATGATGCCACAATATTTAAGTTGGAGCTGCCAATGAAACAGAAGGGGTGAGTAACGGCTGCCTTCTGGGCTTCTGTTGACAGTCCATTGAAGTGAGATGCACAGAATAACCTGCTTTCTACTTAACTGATAGACACATTTACAGGCAACTCAAAGAAGCTGAAGTCGTAGTTGAGTAAACCTCTATAGTGGAGAGGTTTACTTTACAAAAATCTGACTTAACAAAATAGGTTGGTCAAAAGAGAGAGAGATATCAAATTTGCTGTCACTCCCTCAGCCGTTGTATTAGAAATACTCTTGAAGCAGAATAAACCAGCTTTCTGTAATTGAATGCCAAGGAAATATAACACAGTGTATTGTTATGAATGTACATTAAATTAAAAAAAAAAATGGAAAGAATAAGAAAACATTAGATTTACAATATTAATTGTGGAATCACATTTTCAGTTTGTGAAAAAGGGCCCCTTTGTAAGTGAGCAGTTTTAATTTAGTATCATTGAGATAATAATATAGTTTTTATTAATATTTTGAATTGGTTTTTATTTTTATGTTTTGTGTTTTCATCTTAATTTTAGTATTTTTTGGTCATTTTTAATTTTGTTTTGTCATTTTTTTTGTCTATATGGTTTGTCATTTCTGTATGGTTTTCATTATTCCATCTTTATTTAAGTTCATTTTTATTTTAGTTTTAGTTATTTTAGTACATCACAATAAACTAAATGAAAATGAGAAAGGTTGCTGTGGCAACTAGCTGAAATAAAATAAGTTAGTTTTTTCATATTTTATTTAAGTTAAAGTTTATTTTATTTCCAGTAACAAAAAGTATTTTATGGTCTTAGTATTAAATATAATCATCCTGCTAGTGAGCATTAGCGATCCATATTTCTGTATTGCATCAACTTGTATCAGTTGTGTTTGATGTTTCTAAATGCAGAGTGGGCCTAAAAACACAACCAGAATCAAAGTGTCCGGAGCTGCTGGCTAACTATTGTGACATGCTGCTAAGAAAGACGCCACTCAGCAAAAAGCTGACCTCAGAGGAGATCGAGCTCAAACTGAAGGAAGTGGTGAGGGGCTGTTGTAAAAAGTCACATGTTGTTGACTCGGTGCTTGTGTTGTTGTCCTCAAGTGTTTTGAAATATAAATACTACTATTTTTTTTCTATAGCTACTTGTGCTGAAATACGTCCAGAATAAGGATGTGTTCATGAGGTACCACAAAGCCCACCTGACCAGACGTCTGATCCTGGACATCTCAGCGGACAGTGAGATTGAGGAGAACATGGTCGAGTGGCTCAGGGTAAGAATAAAAGAGAAATAAGAGTGACTGAAATTCAATTAGAGTGTTTTATACTCAAATGGCTCACTGTTTGCTTCGTTCTGATGTGTTTCAGGAAGTTGGGATGCCTGCTGACTATGTGAACAAGCTAGCTAGAATGTTGCAGGACATCAAAGTGTCCGAAGATCTTAACCAGGTTTTCAAGGAAGTGCACAAACACAACAAGCTGGCTTTACCAGGTGCCTTACAAGCCCATTTGTCTCTCTATATATGCATTTACATCACCTTTCACCTGGGTTTGAAAGACATTAATATTTATATTCAGCAAGGATGCATTAAATATATCAAAAGTGGTCTCTTTCACACCCCTTCTGTTACCCAGCGGACTCTGTGAACATAAAGATCTTGAATGCTGGAGCGTGGTCACGCAGCTCAGAGAAAGTGTTCGTGTCTCTGCCCACCGAGCTGGAAGACCTCATTCCTGAGGTGGAAGACTTCTACAAGAAGAACCACAGCGGCCGAAAACTCCACTGGCACCACCTCATGTCCAATGGCATTGTGGGTTTATTTTATGCACTAAGTTTAGTGCTTAGTAGTGATTTGTAGTAGCTTTAAATGCAACTTGCATCTAATCAGTCTATGTGCTCTCCGGTAGATCACTTTCAAGAACGAAGTAGGGCAGTACGACCTGGAGGTCACGACCTTTCAGCTGGCTGTACTTTTTGCCTGGAACCAAAGACCACGAGAGAAGATCAGTTTTGAGAACCTGAAACTTGCCACTGAGCTGCCTGATGCTGAACTGAGACGAACTCTCTGGGTAAGATCATGACTGGATATGTCGCATTTTATTCCATTAGATATTTATTATATTTCTGCTGTACTGTAGGGTTGTCAAAAGTACAGACTTTGAAATTTGAAAAATGTGACAATACCTGCATTTCCCGCTAGCATTTTGATCGCTGTTGAGGGGATTCTTAAACACCTCTGATTGGCCACTGTGTTCACGTGCTTAACAGATATGGCTGTGATTGGCTACGATGATCATCGTGTCACGCTCTTCACCGAACGCTTACACAGATACACACAGGAGCATTTGAAAGCCTATGAGCAGGGATAATCTATTAGGAATCCGCTAATAAGACGGTGAAAAGCGTGAAGCGCTGATCATTGTAGCCAATGGCTAATTGAACACAATGGCCAATCAGAGGTGTTTAAGAATCCGCTCAACAGCGCACAAAATGCTAGCTGGAAATGCTGGTATTGTCACATTTTTTAAATTTCAACACCGACTGGTACCGAAGTCGGTACTTTTGACAAGCTTACTATACTGACAAAGCTGCACAGGTTTTTTTTTTTAACAGAAATTAAATATATATGATATTAAAATTCTGGCAGATACCTATAAGATGATAATTATTTCATGTTGTGATCGATAACTTATAAATGAGCAATCTAAAAATTGTATTCTGTTTTGTGTAAATAAATTCAAAATAAAACACTAAGAACTACAATGAATCATAATGCAACAAGTGAATTTAGATATCACAACATTATAATGTACAGTATGACAAATGGATATTCTTTTTTTAAATTTGATTACATTTAACAGTGTTATTAAATTCATAGTGTTTTTAAAGTTTAATTAAAAATATTCAACATTGACTGATTCTGATCAATTAAAATATCTTTGTTTATAGATGTTGTACTATCATCTTCTACGTAACATCTTCCCTCTCTTTTTGTACAGTCTCTCGTTGCCTTCCCAAAGCTCAAACGCCAAGTGCTGTTATATGAACCTCAAGTGAGCTCTGCCAAAGACTTCACAGACAGTACATTGTTTTTCGTTAACCAGGAATTCTCCTTGATGTAAGAGCATGTCCTCTCCTGCTTGCTCTTTCATTTGCTTATAAATGGTCCTTTTATTTGGAAATAATAATATTTTTGTTTCTCCTCAGAAAAAACACCAAGGTTCAAAAGAGGGGGAAAATAAACCTAATTGGCCGATTGCAGCTGACGACGGAGCGAATGAGAGAAGAGGAGAACGAAGGCATCGTCCAGCTTAGAATATTAAGAACACAGGTATGAAACATCAAAAAACATTACTAGTCCTCTTTTTTCATGAACACTAGTCACTAGTATACTTCCCAAAAGTTTACCCGAAGTATACTTCAGTTGTGACGCGAATGCTTAGCGTATGCGTGTAGCCTTTCAAAATTTACTCCATTTGATTGTAGGCTATGTGTGCGAACAGAGGACCTTGGCACACTAGAAAGTTTCCTTGTTCTGCGTCTGCACTAATTCTCTACAGAAGTTATGCCGATAAAAATGTCTTTGTACTATTGTTCCGTCTCCTTCCTTTCTTTTTCAACTATGAACAACAGTCCGGACCAGTGTTGCCACCTTGTGGACAAACTAATTAGTGCACTGTTCGCATAAAAACCAAAGTAAAAAATTTTTGTAATTTTGATGGTAAAAGACTGTTAAATAGTTAACAATTAATTCCCTTACTTTATATTGTGAAAAACTGTAATACATTTTTGTTCGTTTGTTTCTTCTACTGCAACATTTCAGGAGGCCATCATTCAGATCATGAAGATGCGCAAGAAGATCACAAACGCTCAGCTGCAGACCGAGCTGGTGGAGATCCTGAAGAACATGTTCCTCCCTCAGAAGAAAATGATCAAGGAACAGATCGAGTGGCTCATTGAGCACAAGTACATCAAGAGAGACGAAACGGACATTAACACTTTCACCTACATGGCGTAACGCAGAAACGACTCCGGAGATGATCCGTGACCGTTCTTGAGGACGGCGTACCTGTCGAGGATCAGGATGGTGATGTCTCGAAGATACTGCTTAGGCTGCTGGTCTGGTGGCGTAGTCATGAGCTTGTTTTAACAACAGACAGTCACACATCAGATTAAAAAAATGTATTTAAAAAAATTATAAATCCCTGCCTTACCTTACAGTGAAGAAACATGGGATGAGGATAGGAGGTTAAAAAAATAGGAAAAATGACAAAAGGATTCTATTTTTGCCATTGGTAGTCAGTATGCATGGTGGGCGGTTTGCCTTTTGTATGTGTACATCTCCAGCAGCATGCGGTCAGTGGGAATGTCACATTCATCCCAGGACTTGTTTGTGTGTGCCGTGCTACCAGTGTTTTTTCCCACTCCCACATCCTCCGTCTGGACCTCGCCGTGTCCCATCTTCAGTGCGCAACCCGGGGTGAGAGCCGTCCCACCATCGCAACCACAAACACCAGGCCTTGCATGACGACACGAGTCACTGAGGAGCGCGGGCCGGGATGGAGGACTAGCATTAGCACTTTTCACACTCTCCGCCCCAACATGTCAGCATGGCTTTATTTGGGTTGTTTTTCATGTCTTCGGGTTTCGTTTTGATTTATTTTCTTCGCCAAAATGTCGCGAATGAAAGATTTGATTGGCTAATAGCAGTTAAGACGACATTGTTACTCTTTAAAATGCCAGGAAAAGTCAACTTGGCATTCAGATGTCACAAAGGGTCAAGGTCTGCGAAGAAAATCTGTTGGTTTGCGATGTTTTTTTTTTTTTTTCAGTGTACATGCGTTATTGTTGTGCACCTGGTCAGAAGGTCAGGTTGCAGTTTCTTTTTTGTTTACTATGCTTTTAGATCAGAATTTTCCGTTATCGGTCTCAAATAGCGACTGAGATGCCGACTGATTTGTAAAATGAGCTTGTGTTGAGGTGGCCCCACTAAGGTCCTGTAACATATAGCCTATTCATCAAACCTGATTAATTTTAGCTACAATTCCGATTTATTATCATCGCCCCATCACGGCTGAGCGTAAACAAGCAGTAAAGCACAGTTACAGGAGTCCGAATAAAGCAAGCACTGCTTCAACCTCAGGTAAAGTAGGGCAGAGTTATTTTAAAAGTAGGTTGTGCTAACTTTCATTTGCCTCGCGGTTCTTGCTAATCACATATTGCCAAAGCAAACCACAAGAGTGCTGATCTCAAAATCAAATAACGTTGGATCTATTACAGTCATTGTTTCCCCTCTATTTCTGAGGTCACCCTTGTTGGCACATTTAGTAGAAAACAGGAAGTCTGGTCTTTTTTTGTTACTCATTATTACCCTATTATGACCGAGTATCTATGAACAAAAGCTTGTGCAATTACTGATCAGCTGTTTATTATAATCAAATGAACTGTCTCCTGATCAGCCTGCCAGTGTGTCCTCAATAAAAAATAATAACAAATATAATTTTTACTGGCTGATGACGTCTAGACTTGATTGTACATTCATATCCAACCTCAAAACACAGTCTAATGAGGAGAACATGTTGACGTCCCAATGAAATGCTCACTGATATTTCTATAACATTGCTGCAGTTCAACTGTCCATCTGTACTATGGCATTTTCTGTCAGTTGTTTTTGTCTGTTTTTAATGCAGCGCAGTCACTCATTTGTATCCTCGGTGTTTGATTTCACATGGTAATTCGAAATAGTAAAAAGGTTCCCTTCAATTGTATTGAAAAGCCGTTCTTTATAAGATCCAGATGTACAACAGTGTTTGAGAACATTGTGTTATTTGATTGTCCACCTTATTTATTGATAACTTAAGTATGATTGAGAGGACGTGTGTGTGTGTGTGTGTGTGTGTGTACACGCTTAGGAGCCTTTTACAACAGGGTGCTGTCATATCCTGTTACGTTTATGCATTTTCATTTTTGGAATTTAAAATCAATGTTTCTACTGAGCGTATGTTTTCCTCTAGCAATTTCTCTAGGTAAATACATACAATTTTATTAGAACAAGCACTATGATTTTCATATTTATCAATCACAGTTGGAGTTTTTTTGTGTGCTTGTGTTATTCTTAAGCCAATTGGTATTTTCTTTGATTGGCATCAAATGAAATGCGGTCCCAAAAGCTGAAATTTCAGTTCATTGTAGTGGAAGATGATGAAACTGAATAAAAATGGTGTGAATGACCTTGCGAGGGAATGCTACATGAAATTATGAATTATACTTTATTGTTTGCAAATGTATACATTTTCTCTGTTGCACATGGTATGTTCCAGTAATAAAGTCAGTGTGCACATCATTCAGTGGTATAATGCAATAAGTGAGCATGAAACAAGATTTTTTGTAATCTGTTGATGGAATTTTCTCTAATAAAGTTGCGTAGACATAAACACTCACTATTAAGTTGATTATATTATACTGAAATGGTCCCATGTGTGAGATGGGGGTGATAATTTGATTTCACGAGTGACACAACAGTATTTTCATCTTTCTAATACTGTATTGATAATGTGCACTTACTGTCCTTTTTGACACCACTTTATTACATACCAAGAGGAGAGGCGTTTGTGTCTTATTTATCGCTCTGCTGTTTTGTAGAGTGTCTTCCATCATTGTCACAGTCTAAGAGTTTTGTTCATTACAGATGATCCAAACAGACTAAAATGTAAAGGTTTGTGTTTGTTTTTATTTTTTAAAACATAATCTCTTAATCAGGTCACTTTATACTTATACTTACATATACAGATATGTTCTGGTGATGGTTAATATTCATAGTGAACTGGACAGTTAGCAGTATTAATATGTATTACTCATGAAGACAGTTCTGCAGTTACTCCCCACATACACTTTCTGGTAAACGGTTCAGTAGAAAACTGAACACACTAGTTCCCTGTAGTGTGACTGCTGTTACAAGAAGTCAAATGTAAGTGTTGTTCTGAGAAGGTGCATATGCTCTGCCTACGAATGTGTTTTCAAGATTTCTTGCCTGGAGCTTTAAAAGCTTCAAGAATATTTGAGAATGAATGATAAGTACGAGGTGAATGTGTGCCATTGTACAGTGAAGATCTGGAACGGATGCTGTTCTTGCGGTGTGAGTGTGAACCATTTTCATGCAATGGATTTTTTTCTCTTTTCTTTTTTTTTTTGTAATGTTGCATAATTTATTTACTGGCGAAATAAACTATTTGAATGAGGCTAATATGAGTTTTTTTTTAAATCTCGTGTTTCCACAACACCCTAAACAAATAATAGGCAATGTGCCTATGCCTGCAATGTGCCATAACCCTGTGCAATAAAATGATATATCTTTAACTGAATATCAGAGCTATTATAATATAAAGCATGTTTACATGTAAGAATGTTTTAGTGAGTCTAATTAGGTCATGATCAAATAAAGAAATATTTTTTGTATTAAAAACTGACTAAATGAAATATAGTATATTTAGAAACAACAGCAAATTGGCTGTAAATGAGTTGATAGTTTTAAAAACATTACAAATTATCTTTTATCATATAATTTTATCATTTAGTCGGCATATTTATTGTTTGACTAGAAAATATATTACATAAGAAAAAGTATAATATGTGTAAAACATCTGCATAAAACATATGCTAAAAGGCTATCATTTGATCTTTTCTTACATCTAGAAATAGCAATATACAATGAAAAAGATTTGTTTTGGTTTTAATTCACAGCAAAGAATGATTAACAAAAACAAGGGAAGTATGTAAATCTCCGCCCTACTTCTGGACCAATAGAAAGTAATACATTTGCATGTGCTGCAACTCTGGTTTTAATATAGAATTTCTGCAAATGTCGTATTTCCTTAAACTTCATACTACGGGAGGCAACAATATATCATAAAGTAATCATGATATGCTGTTAAATACAGGTTCACAAATTACACTCACCATAGCTGTAACTCATAGCGCAGCAGAGACCTATATATTGACGCAGTCTCACCTCTTTTAATCGCCCGGATGAACCTCGGTGGTCCGGGGTGCAGGCTTCAAACCTGTAGCTGCCTAGCGGCGGAGTGGTTCAATTCCACCTTTCGGGCGTGCTAAAATTGTGCTAGAAAGAAAGCCTGTTATTCAAATGGGTTTTTGGTAAAATGCTAAAATGTTTATCACCCCTGCTGTTAAGCCCCGTTCACACCGATAACGATAACTATTGAAGATAACGATATTAGCGTCCACACCAGCGAACAATATCGTCTGTTTATTTTAAGCGCACGCGCGTCTGCCGCTTTAAATTCTCGAGCTCGTTACAGCAGGATGGATTCTGATTGGCTGTCAGTTTTTTATCGTTCATCAACTGGAGAAAAATAGTTTTGAAAGTGATTCCAACTATATCGTTTCTCTTTGTCTTTATCTGTATAGTTGTGGTGTGGACTCTGCTATTCTTTAATATGGAGAACGATTTTTAGAACTATATCTTTATCGTTATCTTTATAGTTACCGTGCTTGGTGTGAACGGGCCTTTAAACCTCCGGAAGCTCAGCCGTGCCACCAACCAACCAATGACGTAAACACTCCAGTGAACCAATCGCAGCTCACACCAGTGTGTCATAGGAAATGACGTGAGGTGCCGTTGGTTAGCTTCACAGCATGTGCTGACTGAGAGGCTAGCAGGCTAACACTGATAATGTAAAAGTAAATTAATAATTCTCCGTTCGCGTCATTGCCCGGTAAGAATGCCGAACTGTACACATGCCTTTTCCTTATCGTTATTAGTTTTGCATCTTTAGATTTGTACATTATAAAGCGTATATTTGCATCTTTGGCTTATCATATATGGGCCATTCTAAAGAATTGGTGCGAACACATTTAAAAAGCATTTAAGTATTCAAATCTTAGATGTTTACTAAGATCCTTCTATTATATATTGAAACCCACAATAATATTTCAAATATCACTAAGCTTAATATATAGCTTATAAAATAATTTATTGGGTACTTTCAATTGGGAGGTGGCTGCCCCAAACCCTAACCCATCATTTCAATTTATGAAAATTAAATTGAAATCATTTTAGTGTTTTTTTTCCATTGTTGTTTTTAAAAATATATTTTCGATTCTTTTAAAAAGTGAAGTTCAAAACAAATATTTCTTTTATTTTTTCTTTGTAAATTATGAAACTTTATGTAAGAAAATGTGTCCTGCATTTTCCATGTCACTACCGAAACAGTGCATGTTTTAGT